GATGAGAGAAAGAAAAAACTGCTCTCAGCGTTTTGGTCTGCGGCGCTTTAATGCTGGAGCATGTGAAGCAGGAGCCGGCAGAAGCCGCAGCTGTGCCCTTCAGATGGAGTTACTTGGAGGCGGCAGAAGAGACAAGGACTTTGGTGGCCCCAGGACAGAAAGACCACTAATAGGGTTCCCGTGGACCCACACAGGAGCGAGGAGCCAGAACAGCTGAAAAAGGTGAGACATTCAGACACTGGTGAGTCATCGCGAGGAACCGGTGCAGGGCCCGTCCCATGGGAAGTGTTTGGAGCATGGGTGGTGGGGGAAGGGCCAACCAGGAGAACACTGGGGCACAGCAAAGACAGCTGATCTGCCCCCCAATCAGCGCAGCACTACTCAGAAGAGACTGATCAGGAATGCAGAGTTGCATGGGGTGCCGTTCAATGAAAAAACTCAGGCCCAGATCAGATTTTCTACACAACCCAGGTGCACCGAGTATCTGGAGAGCCGGAAGTACCTATAAGTTCGACCATTAAACCCTGAGCTGTACAAAAAGCCTTTCCTAGGGAAACAGCAGCAAAGCAGCAATTTACCTCAACCACACAGCTCAAGTACTGGTTCCCACAGGAAGTTCCCCCATGTTAAAAGTAAGCAAAGGACAAAAACTTAGTTCTGGCCCAGGCATACCAGGAATGCCTTGGGGCCCACCAGAGGACATGTGGCATGGAGACAGGGGCAGGACCCCCACCCACAACCACACCGCCAGCACCTCCAGGCCCCACCCAGGAACCCGAGGATGGAGCTGGGGACAGGACCCTACTGCCACATACAGGCATACCACCAATGCCTAGGGGCCCACCTGAGGACCCAGGGCTAGCAGCCAGGGACCAGGCCCCCTTGCCACAACCAGGCACACCGTGACAGCACATCAGGGCCCTGCCTAGGGGCCCGAGGCATGGAGAAGGGGATAGGACCTCCCTCCCACAACCAGGCACACCTTGCTAGTGCCTTGGGTCCCACCTGGGGACCTGGGGAATGGAGCCGAGGACCAGACCCCACTCCCACAACTAGGCACACAAGCCAGTGCCTTGGGGCCTGCCCCAGGACCCGGGATATGGAGCCAGGGACCTGACCCCCCTCCCACAACCAGGCACACCATGCCAGTGCCTTGGGGCCTGCCCTGGGACCCACAGCATGGAGAAGGGGACCCGACCCCCCTCCCACAACCAGGCACACTGTGCCAGTGCCTCAGGACCCACCTCGGGACCCATGGCATGGAACCAGGGATCAGACACTCTCCACAACCAGGCACACTGCCAGCACCACGGAGCAGACCAAAAACATCTCCTCCATGTGGGTGGCCCACCACAGCCACCATGATAACCATGGCTGCCATGAAGGCAGCTAAATACCACACCACCAGGCAGATGGTTCGCCACCCACTGGAGTGAGTTGACACAAGGAGAGTCACCAGCAGAGATAAAGAAAGGAGGAGTATGTCTGTCTCCACAGAGCCCATTTCATAGTGACGGAAGAGACATCTGCTATATGATAGTATTGGGGGACCTGATCACGCCTCTCAGCATTGAAGAGATCATTTAGGCATCAAATCAACATAGTAATCATTATTCTTTCGGAGAGAGAGAAGAAATCTAGGGTGATTAGAAGGGGGAGGGGGAGGGGGGATTGGACAAGGGGCATAAAGAATAATTACGATTTGTAACAATATATATGCTAGTAATATTGATTTGATGAACATATCTGAATGTTGAAACCCAAAATTATGTATAATCAATTTTGATTCAATAAAAATTAAAAATAAAAACAAAAACTGAGCAAGAGAAAAAAACAAAAAATAAATAAATAATTTAAAAAATAAATAAATAAAAAACACCTTTGTTAAAAGATGACTTTGAGGACCACCCCCCAAAAGATGAAGGGCTTTGGCACAAATCATTCAAAACCAGAAATGCAACTTAGATACTAAATGCAAGTCATTTAACTTACATTCCAACAATCTAAGGTAATCTTTTCTTTTTTTAAAATTATAGTAAAAAATACATAACATTTACCATATTAACCATTTCTATGAGTAGAGTGTAGTCGTGTTAACTATATTCACATTGTTATGTTAACAATTTAAGGTACTTTTAAAAATATACTTCCTAACTTTATTTTTAAAAATAAAGTTAGTTCCAAAATGTTTTTTGGAAATGTATCTTCTTCCTAAATGTGCTACAGAACAATTTTTTAAAATTTCAAGAGTTGGGATTTGACTTTATTTCACCATAAATATTTGTACACAGAAGCCAGATTGAATGAGTGCCCACTTTACAAATATGGGATAACTTGAGCATCAAAATAGATAAATAGTAATGGATAATTACCTACTAAATAAGGATCATGAATCCATAAATAAACAAGAAGAGAATGTTCTTTTAAATACTTGAATGCTAACTAATGTACATAGAAGGTATGATGGAACTAGAAAAATCACCATTTTGCACCCTAGTAATCATTTCTCAGGCAAGAATCAACAACAGGTGCTAGCACTAGTAGGTGAAAGTCTGATGAGAAGCAGGAGAGTTACAAAGTCTCAATGTACTGCCCCACAAATTAGTTAAAAATTATAAAGAGAGGAGTAGTAACTTGACAGTGCAGAAACCTGGCAAACAGCACTTCAGCCAAGTAACTAAAGTTGACATCTCTGATAATGGGATAAACAAACATTGTGCCTCCTAATATGATGTACTAAGAACACAATATTACTTATCTGATATTTCTGCCAAAAATACATAACCTGATTCTAATCATGAGAAAATACCAAATAACCTAAATTGGATGACAGTCTACAAAATAGAAGGCCTGTACTCTTCAAAAATGTCAGTGTCATCAAAGCCAAACAAAGGCTGACGAACTTTTCTAACAAAGACATGAAAACTACATGCAAGGCATCTAGACTATCTTAGACCAGAATAAGAAAATTTGCTTTAAAAAAAATTAACAGGACAACTAGAAAAATTTGAATGTCTGTAGATTAGAAAATAATATAGTATCATTGTTAAACTTTCTGATTTTGCCAACTATACCGTGGTTAGGAAAGTGAACTTTCTTATTCTTTTAAAATACACACTGAATTATTTAGGAGTAAAGGGCATGCCACAACTTATTCTCAGATGGTTCAGACAGTAATATGTATATGTAGCAAGATAAAGCAAATGTGTCAAACTGTTAGAAATTGGTGGAATTCAGGGAAGAGTTTTGAGAATTCTTTGCACTATCCTTGCAACTTTTCTGAAAGTTTAAAATTGTTTCAAAATTTAAAAAGTCAAATAGATGTGTATGTGTATCTATGTGTACATTTTAGAAGTGTTCCGGCCATTTCTTATATGCTTGAAATTCAGATCTCTCAAACGTTCTTAATGACTTTACAGCTGCTACTCTTAGTCTGACTTCAAATTTTAAAAATAAGTCAAGGTCAAAGTCCTTGGCAAGCCACAATAAAGATTTGGAAATACTGTTTATGTATATAGGCCAACTGTGTAGATAATAAGAATTACATAAACTAATCATTACATTTTTTCTGTTAGCTCTACAAAATTACCGAGTCCTAAATTCCCCCACCACAATTATCATTTCACTGATGCCAGACGTGTAACCTGTCCACAAAACTGCCTTCCAACTGCTGCATACATAAGTATTCATTTGCAAGTCTGGATCTGGTGCCTGGAATTTTCCCAAATTCATGACTTTAACTTATTTTTACATACTCTAAGGAAAAAATAAAATCTCCTGAGGGAAAGACAGGACACTGATTTGGAGGATGTGAGTTTGAACTTTTTAGGGGAATGGAGGGTCAGGACTTTTTATGGAACAAGAAATAAAAGTACAGGAAAAAAAGATGTCTACAGACGTCTAGAAAAACCACCAGCTATGTCTCAGGGAGAAAAATCTCAGTGATCGATGGGAAAATACACACCCACACACACACAAATTGTAGAAAAGGTACAAAATAAATTGTAGAAAAGGAAAGTTTCTGACCCATGTTTATCAATCTTGCTTCTCACTTAACCGAAATGTAAATTAGGAAGCCTACAGAATCCACAATACAAATTGTTGCTTGACGTGTAATTGGTCAACCTCCAAATACTGTTCTCCCATAGCATTAGGACAAAAATATATTTCGTGTCATTCGTCCTCACAACAGAAGAGAGAAATGTGGTAAACTCATGATTTGTCACTATTGAAAGCATCAAAAATGTACAAGTATCAACAGTTTCCTGGCTATCAACAATTATTAACCAACAATCTGCTGGCTTAAAAGCAGGTCAGCCTGCAGTATAAAAAGACTCCTGCCTTTCAAAATTGGCTAAAGCCATCAAATTGGATCATGGGCTCTACACATACAACTACCTAAACTCAGCACCGGTCCGTAAGCCAAAAAGCAGAGCAAGTTTCCACTACCAAACCGCCTTCCCTTCCCACCCCACCCCCCGCCCTTGACAGTGAGTGGGTCCGAGCAACCACAATGTGCCCAGTGAAAATGTTTAATCCTGCCAGAAATGTCAGCTTCCAGGCGGAATCCAGTTTTAAACTCTCCCCAAGGGGGCATTCCCGCTGGGACATTTTGCTCCCTCGGGTCAAAATGCCCCGGGGACGTGGCTGCCTGCTCCCCGCCAAGAGTGGAGAACCCGGCGGCCCCAAAGTGCCTAGAGTAAACGAGAACGGTGGGAAGAGGGGTGGGGAGAGCGCGGGCGGGGATCAGGAGAGGCAGCAGAAGCGCAGGTTCATCCTCGGGGTCGCCCTGACCTCTGACCTCCACCCCGAGCTAGCGGCCCGGAAGGAGTCAAGGACAGGCCCCAGGCCTTTGGGCCCCAGCTCTAGGCAGGGATGGGCCTGGAGGCGCGAGGGCTGATGGGGTCTGTGGGAGCCAATGACCTTCGCCAAGACCCTCACAGGGACGATCGGCTGAGTCTGGACCGTCACCGGGCACGGCTCTCCCCGTCCGGACTCACCGCCCGCCGGAGGTGCCCAGGAGCCCCCGCTCGGAACATGGTCTGTGCTCCAGCCGCACCCTCGGCCTCACAGCAGCCCCGAGCCCGGCCAAGGAGCACAGCCTCCGCCAGTCAAACTAAAGCTCGCGAGATGCGCGAACGGGAACGGACGCACCAGCCTGGGAGAGCAAGCTCGCCGTCCCGCCTGCCCATTGGGCAGCCGCGCAGCCAATGGGGACGACGGAAAGTTAGGGGCTGGACTTGGGAGTGGGGCAAAGGTGAGGCTGCTCCCTGTGGGGCCCCGCGTGAATCGCCGCGCGCAGAGCCGAGGAGGCAACGGCAGCGAGCGGCTGGTGGCTGAGCTCGCGTGAGCTTTCCATCGTGGCCTCCCAGCCTTTGGATGAAGTCCACCCCTCGCGCTCCGTTCATTCCTTTGCCTGCTCATTTATGCACAGTATCGGTGCTACACCTGTGATGTGCTAAACATTTTTCCAGGTGAGGGGAACATAATAAAAGTGTGCATAACGTGTTGTCCGGCCCTTGGCGACCTTACGAGACGCCGGAGGAAACATACAAATAAACATTACTATTACGGGAGGAGAAGCTCATCAAATTAGTGATCTTTGAGCTGGCTTCTAGAAGAAGGAACCTCGCGTGCACAAAGGGGAGGAATATGATGGGAAGATCCAAGGACAAGGGGCAGAATTCCGTGTGCTGCCTGCAGACGGAGGCGGAATGGCTGGAGGTGCGGTTAGAATTGCATGTTGGGAAAGGCCTAGAATGAGGGTGTAACTTGGGGCCCTACTCTTCTCTCCGGGAGGAGAAGCTCATCAAATTAGTGATCTTTGAGCTGGCTTCTAGAAGAAGGAACCGCGCGTGCACAAAGGGGAGGAATATGATGGGAAGATCCAAGGACAAGGTGCAGAATTCCGTGTGCTGCCTGCAGACGGAGGCGGAATGGCTGGAGGTGCGGCTAGAATTGCATGTTGGGAAAGGCCTAGAATGAGGGTGTAACTTGGGGCCCTACTCTTCTCTCGCCACTCCGCCTGTCCTGGCACTCCCACCCACACCGTGGCTTCAGTGCCGATGACTGCCAAATCTCTCCTGACTTCTGGATCCACATGCCTACTGGGCCTCTCCTCAGAGTATTCCTCAACATCTCAAACACACATGCCTTCAAGTGACTGGGCATCCTCTTCCAGATTTAATTCTCCTCTATTCCCTTTCTCAGGGCATGCCTTCTAGCTCCACCCAGCTGCTCAAGCCCGAACCCCCGGGAGTCATACTTGACTCCTTTCTCTCCCTTATTCCCTATCTTATCAGTCAGTAAGTCCTAGCAATTCCGCCTCAAAAACAGCCCCCAAATCCATCCACGACTCTCTTCTACCCTGCTTTGCGTTTGGATTGCTGCCGTTGCCTCCTTAACTATTCTTCCAGCTTCCAGTCTTCCCCACCCTCCAATCCATCTCCCACTGCAACCAAAGGGCAAACTAGCGATGCTACTGACTTGTTTAATACACGTCAGTGGCTCCCCTTTGTTTTTAGGATAAAATCCAAATCCCTTAACAAATTATTAGCCCTGTAGGAGCTGATCCTTTCCTTCCTCTAAGCCTTTCACCCCCTCCCACCCCCCAATGGCCGTACAGAACTTCCTACATTTCCTCCAACGCCCTCCTCCCCCTGCCGCCCCACTCTGTCCCTCTACTCTCACCCCTTTACTCCTTCAACTGTTTAATACTCATTCATTCTTGAAATTTCAACTTGGATTTCCTTCCCCACACTAACTCTAAATTGGATATCTCTCCCATGTGCCTCTATTTCTCCTGTGCTTCCCCTGTCATAGCACTTGTCACATGAGTTGTAATGACCTGGCTGCTTGTTTGTCTCACCCATCTGACTGTAAGATCTGTAGGGGCAGAGACAATATCCAACTTTTTAAATTTTGTGTCGGCAACACCTAGCACAGTGCCTGGCCCATAGTAGGCATTCAATCAGTATTCACTGGATGAATAAACAAAATGATAAATAATTTGCTAAAGAATCTGGACTTTATTATAAAATTTTTAAGAAGGGGAGTGATGTGCACGGAAATTATCTCAGTTCCCAATTCAGCAGCAACCCATCTTTCCGACCTTGTCTAGTGCACCAACAAATCCCATTGGCTCTACCTTCAAAACATCCAGAATCCAACAATTTCCATCAACACCCCTTTATTCCTCCACCACTACCACCTTCACTCAGGCCCTTATCATCTCTCCCCGGGATCACGGTGACGCCTCCTAACTGGTCTTTCTTTTTCTACCCATGTTTCAAGAAGTCTCTTCTCCAAACAGCGAACTGACCATGTAGTCTTCTGCTCCAAGCCTTATCCTACCTCAAAGCTCCCTATCCTACCACTGTTCCCTCTCTCACTGTTCCCCTGACACACAGGCCTTCTGCCTGATCCTTTCTCAGGGCTTTGCATTCTGGCTGTTCCCTCTGCCTGAAATGCTCTTACCTGGATATCTACCTGGCTCACTTCTCACTTCATTTAGGTCTGCTCAAATGCCATATTTTTAGAAAGGCAGACTTTGACCTCCCTACATAAAATAACACCCCAGCCCACCCCTGTACTCCTTATCATCTTGTTGAATTTTTCTTCTTGGCATTTACCGCCACCTAACAGGATGTACTAGTTATTGTTCATTTGCTCATTTGTTTATTGCTGATCTCCCTGCACGGGAATGTAAGTTCCTTGGAGCAAGAACTTTGCACTCTAAGAGCCCTGTGCTCAGCTTTTGCTCTTTCCCCTGTCCGAAATTCCCTTCCCCACCTGATAGACTTACTGTGTATCTTCAAAACTCAGTACAAGTGACATTTCCTCTATATGGCCTTCCTCAATCCTCCAAGATGAATTAATCCTAACCTCTTTGTCACTCCCCTACTTCTGTGAACAAGGAGGCGAGGACCCATCTGAAACATAAGTTGTATCCACTTTGAACATATCTGCACCCATGTGATGAACTGGGGCTGTGGGGCCGCCCCTCCTGCCCCGCAGTAAATCTGTCTGTGGGAGGCGCAGTGTGGTATTCTGTTTATCACCACATTTGCCTTCCAACCCAGTTCCCCACTGAACTCAAATCTAAGTCTATGAAAGTGCAAGGAAGAGGGAAGGGTACTTTAAGTAAAAACTGAAAGAGATATTTCACTAAAAGCCATATGAAAAATTAGAATATAAACTAATCTCCTTCCCTGCCTCCCCACCCATAACAAAGCAAAACACCAAAGGAGAGAGAAGCTCCCTCTCCACCCACACTGGGCAGCTTTGGCACCTCCCAGCTCCAGTGAATCAGCAGCAGCTGTGCCCAGCAGAGGCACAATGCCCAAGGGACAGTGGTTCTGGTAGAGCAGGGCCAGAGCACAGGAAGAGGCAGAAATTGACCAAGTGACCACTTCTGCTCTGAGCACACATGAGATGCCCCCCGGGGACGTGGAGGGAGAGGTATGGGGGTTATACATTTACATGCAGGTCAAGTACCAGAGGAACGTGTGAACTAAAACATTTGTATTAGAGGATATTCCCACTCGGTTATGAGCTGCTTTGGTGGCAGCACCCATGGTGTCTATCCCCTGGTTCATATTTGTGGATGTTCAGTGAGAGTTTGTAGAAACGTTTGTCCAAAGAGGAAAGGAAGGAAAAGAAGGGGGGCAGGGAGGAGTTGCCACAGTCGACCCTTGAAGACTGCCCGCAGCTGCTTTGGGAAGATGCCTCTTTCCTCTCCACTGGTCAGTTTCAGGAGCAGCTCCTCCAGGGTTCCTAGCGGAAATTTAGAAAAGGAAGTTCCGTGGGACCAACTCCAGCCCCAGCTGCTGCATCTATGTGGGGGTCACAACCGGTACAGTGTCTCCTTCCCAGGTATCTGTTCTCAATTACCCTCCCCATGGGCTAGCACTTCCAATGGTCTGGTGGCTTACCTGGTGCCTCCAACACTGAGCACCTGACCACCACGCCCTTCTCAAGCCAGGGATGCTGCACTTTCCTGTTTGTTGTCACCTTTGGGTGAGGGAGTACTGAGAGGCACCCGAGTGGGTCACTCTTGGCCAGGATGATGACTCCTCCTTTTGCCTCTGGTCTCTACATACAAAGTGCCCAAAGTGCCCAGGGAGCAGCTCTAGCCTATAGCCAGTGGGACTCTTTCTGTATCCTCTGGCGGAAGATTCTCCCATTGAAGACAAGGACCTCTAATCCTGTATGTCCAGAGTCACAACACCATATAAAATCTTTGATTCAAGATGTACACAGCATCCTGGAAGATGAACGCCATCCTCGTGAAGTACCGCCTCCAAGCTGGTGCTTCAACTGGGCCTTCAACAGGTCATTCCAGTACCCAACCAGGCTGGCAGCATCTGGATGATACAATATGAGACTCACTTAGGGAATCCTGTGATCATGGACTCATTTCTGCACCTCCACTGCAGTAAATTGGGCCCCTGGTCTGATGTAATGTTATGTGAGATCCTGTGCTGGTGAATTAGATACTCAATAATCCCTTGGAGAGTGGAGCTGGCTAAGGTCCTGTGGGCAGGAAAGGTAACTAGTACCTAAGATATACGTTGATCCCTGTCAAGATGAATCATGGCTCTTCCAGGGTGGAAGGGGTTCAATGTAGTCAGCTTGCCACCACAGGGCCAGCTGTTCTGGAGGAATGATAACCATACCAGGGGCTCATGCAGCAGCAAAAGTCGCAAGATCAGCCTTTGTAAGTGGGAGCCCATCGTATTAAGTTTGTACTGCCTAATATGAGTATATTGCCTTTATCTCTGCCACCGTGAACATTTCATGCATGAACCTTTTGTGCCAGGACTGGGAGTCTGATGACAACAGCTAAGGTCACCTGGCTGAAACATTTTTGTCTTCTTGGTTACTTAGTGCCTTTTTGATGGCAGAGTTTTCTAGTGGGTGTTAACATGTAATGCAAAGACCTTCATACTTTGTACCCACTCCATACGTCTGTCCTTGTGCCTCTATCCCAGATCCCCTTGTCCCCAATCTTTCGATCTTTCTTCTTCCAGGCCCCTGGCTAGCCAAGTAGGCCATTCATCATTGCCCTTGAATTCACATATGTTCTAAACTTGGGGTACTCTCTGTCCAC